CATATTTCCTCACTGATGTCCTAGTGTCCTGGCTACAGCCAAGATTTACAATTATGTTGAAGTGTCAGCAGTGAACTGAATTTTGTAGGAAAAAGCAATGTGGAACACTCTCCTGAAAGATGGAAGTGCAGGCTGTTTGCATGTCCTGGCATGGACGCTTGTGGATTTTGTAATAGAATTCAACTGCTGATAAAGCTAAAATGTTAGACATGAGTCTTTGGACAGGTGTGACCAGGTGGCACTTGATACAAGAACTCAAAGCCATGGAGTTTTCTGAGGACACAGATCTTCACGGCTGTGCTGAGGAATGTTTTTGGAGTGTTTTCCTAGTAAAGTAGGTCAGGCAAACACTTTTTTCAAGGAGATTAAGATGATTTGCATGTCCTCTTAGGTCTGAAGTATCAGGTAACTTTGGCAGGAAAACCCCATCCTTATTCAGAAAGCTTTGATGTCAAGAAATGCCTGACATTTCTCAGGCGAAAAACATTAGAGATGGGTGAGCTTGTTGCTCTGGGTTTTTGGGCTCTGTTGGGCTTGGCCCTTCTTTTTTTTTTTTTCTTTTTTTCCCCATTTGTAAGATTAGGTGCATTTTGCTGTGAAAGAGCATGCTGGAGCTGGTCGTTGTGTGGCTGCTCCTACCTCACCTGTGTGTGGCCAGCAGGCAACAGAGGTACGAGTGAAACTTCTTTTTTCATGTGTAAGCTCCGGCAAAGCAATGAAGCCCCAAATTTGCATCATCATCAGCTCCCACCCGATCTAAGTTCTGTTAACGTGAGGGCTTACCCAGCTCTCACCAAAGGGTATATTACAGGCTTGTGCTCACTGAAGGGTAAAAGTGAACACATTGGTACAGCAGAGCAGCTAACAAGACATGAATTAACATGCTGGTTTATCTTGCGGTGATTTGTTCTGCAGCCATAACCAGATGATGCATGAGGCAACGAAGCCAAGAGTGCTTCAACGGGCACTTCTCTCCGCGAGAACGTCGTTTCTGTGCTGCCCCTGAGCTCTCAGGGAACCGATAGGAGTTAAAATGACACGTTTTTCAGGTGGGCAGAAGAATAATGATGCCAAAGCTCTCCTTAAGTTGGCTTTGGAGCTGTGTTCTCAAAATATCCCAGAAAAAGTCAATTTATGAATTTTATAATTTTATAAAAATAAATGGCAGCATAAATTTCTAAGCTCACTATGTGAGTAACCTTTGTCTTTTTTATGCCTTTGGTGGATGCTTGTATGGTGCTTTAGGAACTGGTCTAATGTTTAGTCTAATGTTATAATCTCGTGGATTGCAGAAGTGGTGGAGGTTTGTGGGTTTTTTTTCTTTCTTTCTTTCTTTCCCAAGGGGTGTGACCATTCAGATGTCGACCCACCTGCCCTTAGCTGCGTAGTAGAAATACTCTTGAAATGTAACAGAACCCGAAGTGGCTCTGTTTCCATTTTTCTCCAGAAGATCTCAGTGGTTTTGGCCTTTGTTACTGGTTTCTCTCTGATATAATGCTACATTTTGTGATTTAGTAAGGTTTTGATTATCTCATCTCAACTCTTCACCAGGTTTCAAATACTGTTTCTCCATTGTCCCCTCTCTGGGCCCTAGCTGGATTTAGGAATCTTAAAGTGAAAAGGAAGTAGCATATTTGGTGGTTTGTTTGTTTTTTCTTTGTGTATGTGTTAAAATACTTTTAATTGCAGGACAAAAAACCAGTTGCTAAATATAGAAAAATCAGGAACAGTTAACTTTTTCAGACTATATAATGCCAAGACAGGATATAAGACTTGTTGGGAGATGCTGTCAGTTTAGTAGAAAAGACCCTGCAGGTCCTTGCTGCCTGGGTTGGTGTCTCTGGTTGCGTCGGCAGGCATGTGCTTGTGTGGGAATGGGAACTGCTCTGAGAAGAATTCAAGTAGAAAATGCTCACTCAGGTTTTTTGTTTTGTTTTCTCTAGAGCTCCTGTGCAGGGACTTTGAGCTCCAGGCAAAATTACTCATAATTTCAGCACTTACTTGAGGCAATTCGAGTGTTTCTCTCCTGAATCCTCGAATACGCAGCTTGTGTGCACAGTTTTACTTAAAGCGTTCTCATTAAATGGCAATTCTAGTTGTATTAGGCTAATGCACACATTACAAACAAATTAGGTGTTTGTGGGGCAAACCACTTTGAAACTTATTCAAAACAGTCTGAAATCTCAGAAAATCCGAGTGTGGCAGTTGGACTGCCAGGCCAGAATTAATTTTGCTCTTCGACAGCATTTCTATTAAATAGAATAAGCTATTTTTAAACCGCTTGTTGCCAGCATGACCTCAAAATTAGAACATGGAGGAAAATGGGTTTGGTTTTCCTTGAACGGGAAGTACTTTTGGGCAACATGCCACTTCAGTTTCTCATAGGAAGTGCAGTTGAGGAATTCTTATTCTCATCCTTGCCTATGGAGTGAGATTCCTGGTCAGAATACATCTCCAATAAGGTACCAGTCCCATGGGCAACAACAGCGCTTCCTGGGAGAAGTCCAAGGAAATGCTCACAGGAGCAAACGTTAGAATAGGGCAATTAGACACGGTCTCACAGGGGGCACGGAGGCTGCCTTCTGGTCTCAGTTCTTGTTTCATTACTTACTGAAGCTTTTGAGATTCAGAGTCACCTTGAAAAATTATCCACAGGTTGCTTTTACATGTTTGGAAGTTTGAGATTTCTGTTAAACGCTTTTTTTTTTTTTTTTTTTTTTTTTCCCAATTTGTCGTCCTGAGGATACCGGCAGACAAACCTTACACTGCGTTTTTTTGTATCGGTTTGCCCGAGGTGATTTAAGGGTTTCCCCCCTTGAAATTCTGATTCCATTACACTTAAGTAGACTCTTCCGTCAGCAGTTTGTAGAGCAAGATACATAATTAATACTGCTCTAATGCCTCTCGAAGCCTTAATGGATGATAGAAGCCTTGCACCTCCTCCTAAAACTTCCAGAACTGCCTTTGCGCATTGAAAGATTTTTTTAAAATGGCTTTTAGCTTGTAAAATAAAGAAACTGTGTTTGTAGAGGAGTTCAGTGGTAAGGAATGTGCATGGATTTTATTTTGTGTGCGTGTTCTAGTCTCTAAATCCTACCAAGAAAATTTAAGACAGGATTTTAAGTTCCTAGTTTTGTCAGGCATTTTGTGGCTTGGTAACGCTGCTTGGTAACTAGATAAATGAGATTGGGAATCCCCAGGCAACTTCCTATCCCTGTTCTTGCACTGTTTGTTAGACGTTGAGGCTCTTCTAGGTATGTGCTCTTCCAGGGACGGTTGTCTCACCTTCACCGTCCATCTCAACCCTTTGCTCAGTTAGCAAAAGAGATTTGGGTTGCTTGGAGCGCCGCACCGTACCGCTTTCAAATGCTCACCAAGCAGGGTTGCTTGGAGCGCAGGTGTTTGTTGGAAAGGTGGAGTTTGGCCTGGTTGTTTGCCAATGTCAAAATACTTCTGGAATTATCTCTCATGCTGATAGAATGCCCCGCGATGCTGCGAGAGCAGGCAGCATTGCCTTCATTTGCCACGGAACTCGTGCGCGCGAGTAACACGCTCGTTCCTGCTTCTAACAAGTACTGACATCACCGTACTTGAGTTTCCCAGTTCTAGTGATATAGTGGTTTCTTTATCCACAGGTAGACCTTTCAATTATTCCTTATTTTACAATATTGCTTTTAATAGATTATGGAAAGGCGAAAGATTCTAGAGGAATGGCCAAGGCCATAGCCCTAAGGCACAGTGGGCACTGACCTGCTAGAGGAGGCAAGCTGTGGTTACTGGAGGAGGGTTTGGGGAGCCAGTGGTTACTTGGAATGGCTTAAGTGCGTCTTGAGATACCAAACAATTTAATATTTGTTATGTGGCTGAGCAAAGTTAGTCATGGTTGGCGGTGGGTTTTTTTTGTAATGCATTCAATATCTGACTTTTGTTCAGCTTTGAAATTATTGTGTTTGGAACTTGAGCTTCCTAAATGTCAGATACCACAAGCATGGACATATTGGGTTTTCTCACCTATGCTGAATGATTTTAGCTGGAAGACACTGGTCCTTTTCAGTGTTTAATATAGTGTTTAAACTGCTTTTAAAGCTACTTTCATTCAAAGGCTGCCTATTGATACCCATAAACGTCTATGTTCTGTAGCTTGCTTAATCTAATGAGAAATAAGCATATATAATCCAGTTAGATTTTTGTTGCCTTGCGTTCTGCAGCATCTTCTTTTCTATCCAGTGAGATGTCATGGTTGTACTAAGGCTTCTTTTTCAGGAAAGTGGAGCAGTGATCTCAAGAAGCCTTTCAGCATGTTTTCTATATTCCCCACCTTGTATCTTGTGAGATACTACTTCTGTAGCTGAATATCGAGTCTTTCTATGAGTAGTGCTTTCTCTGATAACTTCTTGGCTAATTGTAGTTTGAATCTAGTAAAGGTGAACATGTCTGAAATATAGATTGGTTTGGATATAGGAATTGACTGTGCCCACCAATAACAGCATGGACCTGTATCACCTGTGCTTAAAGAACAGCACAAGAACTTAATTTTAGGAGCACTCTTAGGGCTGTGAATCCTCGCCTTGCATGGGTGCCTTGGAAGCTTGTTCCTACTGGTGTGCTGCTTGGTTGCTCTAGGTAGGTGTTTAAATTTGGGGAGGCAGGATTTCACGCGCATCGCTCTTCAGAGCTTCTCTGGCAGCTATTTTAGGTAGCCTTATGCTCAGAGTAATAGTTATTCCTGGGTCTAATGCTTCAGTTGCTGTGAAAGATATGAAACAAGTAATGTGGATTTGTGTTTTCCACCGTGAAGAGAGTATCTATCTTTCTCTGAATCTATGTCCAGAATATTTTCTTTTTACAGGTACTTCCATTCATTTTTGCAGAAGCTCAGATTTTTCCCAGGGACACTTGTCATTATAGCAGTTGACCCAAAGTGGCTAAATGTGTGTTTTGGTGCCCATTGGCAGGATTTTTATTTTTTTTTCTTCTTCCAGGACGTGAAAATCTGAGAAATGAACAAATTACGGCAAAGCTTTAGGAGAAAGAAAGATGTCTACGTCCCAGAGGCCAGCAGGCCTCATCAGTGGCAGACTGATGAAGAAGGCGTTCGTACCGGCAAGTGTAGCTTCCCTGTTAAGGTAAGAGTTTCTGCCTTTCTTTCGGATATCCGCGAGGTACTCTTACCATGAATTATTATTTGGGGTTTTTTGGCAAGCATAAGCCAGCGGCATGCTTCATTACACACTGACCTATTTTACCGTCAGCTCTCATTGCAAAGGATGTGGCTTTTTTCAAAGCCAGATGACTCATGTAACAAATGCCTTGGAAAATCGCTTGTCTGAGATATCCTACGCTATTATCTCGTTCAAATAAATCATGTAGCTAGGCAGAGGAGTAATATGGTATTTGTCTTCATTTTTCTGGAAGAGCAGAAACGATAGACCTCTTGGATTGCATGGAAGGGTACTCGGTTCTCTCTGTGAAAAACAGAGTTACGGTTACAGTTTGACTTGTATGGTTAAAGGAATCCTTCCTCCCTTTTGATAATTGAAAGCATTGCCAAGTAACACCTGTGCTTGAGGTCATAAGCACTTGCTATCTTCTGAGCTATGTTTTTTTGTGTGTGTATATTGCAGGCTATTAATGCACGTGAAACTTAAGTTACCTGTCTGAATTCTGAGAACTCATTCCAGATTATCAGAGTATTATAAATAAGTGTTTTCTTTTGTGTCATCATTTCTCCTTCCCCTTTATTTAGGAATATTATTTTAATATTTTTGTATAACATTAATACTTAAATACAATAATAAAAATAGATATGAAATTTAAGGTGTCTTGCTGCATAGGCTCCCCTTGTAATCAGCTTTCATCCTCAAGGCACGCTAATTCTAACTGTACAATAGATTGTAAACAGGTAAAACTTACAGAAAGTCAACAGATTAAATACTGATACACGAGGAAAGCAGTCTATGATTCTGACATCTAGGGACCTTTTATTAATTTTTATCTATATTATAGTTAAAGAAGTTTTGTCCGGTAGTTAAGCAGATAATGTTGCTATGTGAAACGCTTGAAACTGACGGTTACATATTTTTGTAAAGTTATGGGAATGTGCAGGTACACAGAAATCTGAGATAACTTTCACACTAGGTCCGTGCCCTGCTTTACCCTGCTGTAGTTGCTTGTGTGTGCTTTTGCATAGGCTGAAGTGTATATAACATTTCTAGTTTGTTATGGTAGCTCGCTTACTTGATTTTGTCTTGTGTTAGTTTTCGGCTAGAAGGAAGGAACTGCAATCCAGCACTAAACAGAGATGGTGTTTTGCCAGAGCTTTGAAAGTGAGTAACTGCTTTGTGGAAGCTCAGACTTAGATTAAGGTTTCGCATTGTTTAGGAGACAAAGGAGCTGTTAGTGTGAGTGTGGTTATTTTTTAATAATTTACCCATTGCACAGGTTGAAAAGCAAAATACTTAATTTCTAGACATGCAGTTTTCCTCAAACTTTTGCAATCCATTACTGAACACAAAGGGTGTGAATCGCTTCTTGCTCTTTAAAAACTGACTTTTTTTTAAACTCTCAGTCAGGACTTGCACTTATAATGACAAATGCTTCCGGTATTTAAATGAAGCATTCATCTATTCTGGGCACATGTACTCAAAGTCAGAAAAAAGGTTTTGGGCTATTCTATGCTGAAAAGGCATAGAAATGGATGAGTTTTCACGTCCTGTCATCATACTGGGACTTATTCACCCTAATTTGCCTGCGCTATATTGTAATTCATGGAATTAATTTAATTTGTGCTTTGGAAAAAAATTTTCCAAAGTAAGAGCATCTTTACATATGTTTCCTGGTTTGGTTGGAGCGGTAGACTATTACTACTTAAAGACTTTGCAATTAGTTGAAAACTTAAAATCAGAACAATTTGACATTAAGAGGTGTTTTAGCATATTCGATTAGAATATACCTTCCAAAATACTGTGCCTTGAGATGGGCAGCAGGGGAAATTTTTATTAAGCTTGGCATGCAAAGTGGGTGTTAACTGGTGTTTAATAGATACAGACAGGAAGTATGCCATTGTGAGTGAACGAGATAAACCAGATGTAGAGTCATCGACTTAGTGGGTGGTACTATATTTTGCTCCCAAAAAGAATAGAACTTTGTGCTATTGAAGGAGAATATCCTGTCACGCTGCTCTTGGGTATTATTTGGAAATTCAGACACTGCAGGAAAAGTATGCTGTCTCCTATGTCCTTAAATATCTGACAGGGCAACTTTTCTTCCTGATGCCTCTCAACGGAGCAAAATAAACTGAGATATTTTGGGAAAAATGGTTAGTGAATAGGAGGGCATTCAAATCTGAAACATGGTGAAAGTATTTTCATTTTCTTAAAGTTCCTAAATGGGACTTCCAGGGCGACCCATTGCCTGTAGTGTTGCTGCTCAACCACAGTTCAGTCTGTTTCAGAGGAGGGGGGATCAGTCTGTCCTTGCTCTTTATGGTCTGCCGTGCTCACGCTTTAAAAATCATGAGCCATAGTTCTTCAGGGGTCAAAGCACAGCTAAGTGAGAAGACTCGAGTCTGGCTTTTCACAGAATCACAGAATTGCCTCGATTGGAAAAGATCTTTAAGATCATCCAGTCCAACCAAAAACCTAATACTGACAGGTCCTTGACTTAAACCATATCCCAACCAGAGTGTCTGCCCAACTCTTAAATAACTCCAGAGATGAGGACTCCACCACTGCCCTGGGTAACCTCTTCCAATGCCTGATAACCCCTTCAGTAACGAAATTCTTTCTGATTTCCACTCTAAACTTCTCTTGGTGCAACTTGAGGCCAATTCCTCTTGTCCCATCACTTGTTACTGGGTTGAAGAGACCGATCCCCACTTCTCTACAACCTTCTTTCAAGTAGTTGTAGAGACTGATAAGGTCTCCCCTCAGCCCTCTGTTCTCCAGGCTAAACAACCTCTGTTCCCTCAGCTGCTCCTCCTGAGACTTGTTCTCCAGACCCTTCACCAGCTTTGATGCCCTTTGGACACGCTCCAGCACCTTGAGGTCCTTGCACCGGGGGGCCCAAAACTGAACACAGGACTTGAGGTGTGGCAGGGATGGTGGAGATTGTACCTGTATGGCTCATGAAGACCTCTTAACACGGCTCTATAGTTATCTTTAAGGCTTTCTGCATGAAAATAAAATACATGAAACTAATGTAGTAGCAGCTGTGTTGAGGGCTTTGTTTCTTCTAATGCTGGCTATTTTATTTAGGTAACAATCTTAACGTTCTTTTTTGAGGTGGAGAAGACTGGTGCAGATGTAGACTAGGGAATGCGTGTCTGCTCTCAGTTTCCCTTTTACAAGAGAAAGGTTAGGAAATTTTGATGGATGAAAGATATGTCGCTCTCAAAGTATTGTCAAGTCATTGTTTTTTTAAAAAATGTTACCTTTAGGCATTTATATTTTGCCCAGAGTTGGAGTGTTAGAGTACTAGGGCAGAATTATCCTTTTCTAGATGTGACAGAAAGTGTGGCAGCGCTTTGAAAGTCGTGTGGCAAGTAAGATTTCGTCCTGCCTCCAGGCTCCTTTCTCTTACTGTTGGGCAGGGACTCCAGTAGCTGCTGTTCACTCATTTTGAGGGTGCTGTACTGCAGATAGATTTAATACTATTGGAAGGTTTTCTACCTTGGCGCGGTTCTTGAAGCTCTGCTCCGTGCTACATCGCCAGCTGATCCTGTTGTTGATTGAAGACCAGAAGCGTGCTGTTGGATTTGGAGCAAATCCGATGTGTCTATGGATTATCATCGTTTCGGTAGAAAAGACGCTCTGTGGAAAGTATTGGCAAAATTCCGATTACATTGTTACTTTAAAATTTAGAGGTGAATTTGATGCGCAGTCTGTTCTCATAACATTGGAGGTTGTGGTAATCCTGGGCACGTTCTGTTACATTTAGGCAATAGCACCTTTTTGTTTGGTTGTTTAACAGCCTGTGTTTTTCCACTGTTGGAGTGACTGTGTTGCATGTAACAGCTACCGATCGTATTTTCTCAGTTATCATGGTGCGTGCAGGATGTATTTACAGAGGGCTCTTCACTGTCTTGGAAATTGAGCCACACCTGAGGTGGCAATCTGACATGTTCAGCAGCTACTGACTTCCCCGCAGCGCTTTTCTGCCTAAACTGCTTTGAATCCCCTAAAGTTGCGTGGAAAGAAGAGCCAGGATGCTGGACCGCGTGACTAAATGCATTTTTTTCTGCACTCTGCTGCTTCAGCGGAGAGACAGTTGCCTGTCTGCCAGCAAAGGTACGAAAAGGATGTTAAATTTGTGTTTAGACAAGTGCGACTTGCAGACTTGTGTCATTCCGCTGGCAACGTGATGGTGTTGCTCTCTGAACTTTTGCGGTGCGGAGGCACAATGCATCGCAGTTTTTAAGGATGTGCTCAGAGTTGCCCCGTTACTGAATGCAGAGCTCTTACAGCTGCTGGAAAAATCTGCACAGAAGTATACTTTTTAGGGGTGAATTCTCTTCTGCTGTCCTAACAAACTAAAAAGTGACGGCTGTGTTTCAGTAGTGAATCCTCTCTGAGAGACCTGCCGGATACATGTAAAGTATAAGACAGAGACATTTATATTTAAAACTATTCAGAAGTAGCTTGTTCCGCTAGACATTGCAACTGTGCTTATCAGTGCTGTAATTTATTTTTGCGCAACCTTTATACGTCATAATTGCAAAAAAAATGAAATTCATCGACATACGCATTTCCCAACTTGCTTTCTTGCTCCAGACGCTACCTCACTGAGAACATGCAGCTGTTCTGTGTTTTAATGGCTAAAATATTTGACACTAAGGCTTCTTTTGTCTGAAATGCCTTTTCGAGTGTCCCTCTGGGTAAGTAGTTTTTATTCATACAAATGCACTTTAGAGTAGCTGGCCTGTGAAATTTATATCAGAAAAATTAGGTCATTTCCCCCTACTTAACAGAACTAAACAAACCAAACATTTGCAACTTCTTGGTGGTTCTAACCAACCGGACATGTGAAACAGAATAATAACAACTGATTCCAACCTGTGTTCTAGAAGATGCAAGAGTCACAAATATCTTGGATTAATTTAATTAGTTTTAGTTTGTCATTTTCATGG